GGATGAGCGTGGAAGGGTCTGGAAGGGCTCGGGATGAGCGTGGAAGGGTCTGGAAGGGCTCGGGATGAGCGTGGAAGGGTCTGGAAGGGCTCGGGATGAGCGTGGAAGGGTCTGGAAGGGCTCGGGATGAGCGTGGAAGGATCGGGATGAGTGTGCAGGGATCGGGGTGGGATCGGGGTGGGATCGGGTGGGTGTGCGGGGATCGGGTGGGTGTGCGAGGCGCGGGCGCGCTGCTGCAGGGGCGTGCAAGGGACGGGCGTGGAAGGTGCTGGAACAGAGCGGGCCAAGGGCGGGGCGGGCGTGCAAGGGCTGGGTGTGCCCAGGTGTCCCCCAGGTGTCCCCCAGGTGTCCCCCAGGTGTCCCCAGGTGTCCCCCAGGTGTCCCCCAGGTGTCCCCAGGTGTCCCCAGGTGTCCCCCAGGTGTCCCCAGGTGTCCCCAGGTGTCCCCAGATGTGCCCCAGGTGTCCCCAGGTGTCCCCAGATGTCCCCCAGGTGTCCCCAGGTGTCCCCAGATATGCCCCAGGTGTCCCCAGGTGTCCCCAGATGTGCCCCAGGTGTGTCCAGGTGTCCCCAGGTGTCCCCAGGTGTCCCCAGGTGTGCCCAGGTGTGCCAGGGACACTCTCAGGGACATCCTGGGCCCCTCCCCACCCCCACCCCCCAGCCGTGCTGAGGCTCCTGCGTCACCCAGGCCACACACGAGCGTGTCCCGAGTGTCCTCTGTGTGTCCCGAGTGTCCCCGAGTGTGTCCCGAGTGTCCCCTGTGTGTCCCGAGTGTCCCCAGGCGTGTCCCGAGTGTCCCCGAGCGTGTCCCGAGTGTCCCCTGTGTGTCCCGAGTGTCCCCTGTGTGTCCCGAGTGTCCCCGAGCGTGTCCCGAGTGTCCCCAGGCGTGTCACGAGTGTCCCCGAGCGTGTCCCGAGTGTCCCCAGGCGTGTCCCAAGTGTCCCCGAGCGTGTCCCGAGTGTCCCCGAGCGTGTCCCAAGTGTCCCCGAGTGTGTCCCGAGTGTCCCCAGGCGTGTCCCGAGTGTCCCTGGGGGTGTCACGAGCGTGTTACAATTGTCTCCTGAGAGTGTCACGCTGGTCACGATTGTCCTCTGTGTGTCCCCTGAGCGTGTCACGAGTGTCCCCCGTGTGTCCCCTGCGTGTCACGAGTGTCCCCCGCATGTCGCTGCCGCCTCGGCCCCGTGCCAGCAGCGCTGCCGGGCCCTGCAAATCCCGATGTCCTTGAGGTCCCGAATCCCGATGTCCCCGTGTCCCCAAATCCCGATGTCCCCAAATCCCGATGTCCCCGTGTCCCCAAATCCCGATGTCCCCGTGTCCCCAAATCCCGATGTCCCCAAATCCCGATATCCCCGTGTCCTTGTCCCTGCGCCATCGCTGCTGCCAGGCCGGGGGCTCCGTGTCCCCGACGTCCCCAGATCCCGATATTTCCAAATTCCGGTGTCCCCAGACCCCTGTCCCCATCCCAATGTCCCCATCCCGGTGTAAATCCCGATGTCCTGGAGCCTCGGGACGTGCAGATCCCGATGTCCCCAAACGTGTCCTTGTCCCCGCGCCTGCGGCCTGGCAGGGCCTGGAGGCCTGGTGTTCCCATCCCGGTGCAAATCCCGATGTCCCTGTGTCCCCATCCCGATATTCCCAAATCCCGGTGTAAATCCCCATGTCCTGGAGCCTCGGGACGTGCAAATCCCGATGTCCCCAAATCCCGATGTCCCCAAATGTGTCCTTGTCCCTGTGCCTGCGGCCTGGCAGGGCCTGGAGGCCTGGTGTCCCCAGATCCCGATATTCCCAGATCCCGATATTCCCAAATCCCAGTGTCCCCAAACCCCCTGTCCCCATCCCGGGAACAATCCCTGTCCCGGTGTAAATCCCGATGTCCCCGTGTCCCCAAATCCCGATATTCCCAAATCCCGATATTCCCAAATCCCGATGTCCCTGTGTCCCCAAATCCCGATATTCCCAAATCCCGATGTCCCCGTGTCCCCAAATCCCGATATTCCCAAATCCCGATATTCCCAAATCCCTCATTCCCCGTGTCCCCAAATCCCAATATTCCCAAATCCCTCATTCCCCGTGTCCCCAAATCCCGATATGCCCAAATCCCTATGTCCCTGTGTCCCCAAATCCCGATATTCCCAAATCCCTCATTCCCCGTGTCCCCAAATCCCGATATTCCCAAATCCCGATGTCCCTGTGTCCCCAAATCCCGATATTCCCAAATCCCTCATTCCCCGTGTCCCCAAATCCCGATATTCCCAAATCCCGATGTCCCCGTGTCCCCAAATCCCGATATTCCCAAATCCCGATATTCCCAAATCCCGATGTCCCCGTGTCCCCAAATCCCGATATTCCCAAATCCCGATATTCCCAGATCCCGATATTCCCAAATCCCGATGTCCCCGTGTCCCCAAATCCCGATATTCCCAAATCCCTCATTCCCCGTGTCCCCAAATCCCGATATTCCCAAATCCCGATGTCCCCGTGTCCCCAAATCCCGATATTCCCAAATCCCGCGTTCCCCGTGTCCCCAAATCCCGATGTCCCCGTGTCCCCAAATCCCGATATTCCCAAATCCCGATGTCCCCGTGTCCCCAAATCCCGATATTCCCAAATCCCGATGTCCCCGTGTCCCCAAATCCCGATGTCCCCGTGTCCCCAAATCCCGATATTCCCAAATCCCGCGTTCCCCGTGTCCCCAAATCCCGATGTCCCCGTGTCCCCAAATCCCGATATTCCCAAATCCCGATGTCCCCGTGTCCCTGTGTCTGTCCCCACCCCTGGAAAATCAGTAAAACCCCATAAAAAGCAGGGAAAATCCGCCCTAAAAATTGGGAAAACCTCATGGAAAACAGGGGAACCCCTAAAAACAGGGAAAACCCATCCCCCCAAAAACTGGGAGAATCCCCAAAAATGGGGAATTCCCCCCCAAAATCAGAGACCGCCCCCCGTAAAAATCAGGGAGAGGTTGGGAATCCCGAAAATCGGGGAGAGATCCCAAAAAAAAAAAGGTGGGGGGGAGGGGCGGGGGGAAATTCCGAAAGGAATCGGGGAAAAAATTGGGGATTTTCACGAAAATCGGGAATTTCCCCCCAAAATCGGGACTCGACCCTCGCGCCCCCCCCCCAATTTCGAGGTCCCCTCCCCCCCCCC